ATTTTTAATCAATTAATATTAAAACTGGAATAATTAATAATTTAGTGCTTACGCTTGCTGGTAAAGAAATTTCTGTTGCGCAAGTGGAAGTTGGTTACTTAACTGATTAAGTTCACTCGTGAAGTTACTTCGTAGTATTTTAATGAAGTTACCATTAAGGTAATAAAAATGTTGAAAAGTGAAAAGAACCTAACATTAACATTTTATTTCTAAAAATATACTCTTAATATTTACTAAAATTTGACTTCACCAATTTGTGCATAGAAAACTTATGCTTTAAAATTTGGAGATCTGATTATTCTGTCGTATGTTTCTTGAATTATTACCGGAATACTTAAACTTAGATTACTCAAGTTACTGCAGTCGTTATTGCTACTCATTTATTAGATTTCTAAAGCCAGTGAATTACTAAATAATAGGTTACTTGAATTACTACCTAGTTTACCGAGTTTATTAGTTATTCATATCGTTTAAATTACCAGCATATTATTTGATATTCGATTGCTTCAATTATCGATAGGTTGTTAAACAATGATTTATTTGAATTACCCATACACCGTTTGATATTACACTTTTGACTAACACTGTTACTCTTCCTTTCCTTTTTTTCTATTTAATATTACTCTTTTAGCAACAAATTTTCTTATACCAATCCACTCATTCTAATATTGCTTTATTGAAAATTGTATTAGTAAACTTGTTAATACTCTCCAATATTCAATTTCTCAGATTATTCAAATTACTAGAACTATTATTAAGCTGCTCAAACTGCCTACTGCTATTAATGATTCATCCTTTTTAAACTTTTAATACCTATTTAAGGATAATTTTATCTCCTGAACCTGAATTTCCATCGCTGAAGTAAATGTATCCAATATTTTGAAATACTTAAAGAGTATTACCTACTAGTAAATATTAGTATTACCAATACTAAAGTTTCACACTAAATCTGCACGGATACTCCCTGTGAATAGCATTAAGGGGGTCTTCTAGTGTGACGGCCGTTTTTTTAGGCCTCTTTTGCTAATTTATTACAAAAGTACGGTAACAGTTATTAACACGAGCTTTATTCCTATGTGTTTACTTGTCCTTGAAGAATCGTTACAAATTTTTTTTGTTGAAAAATAATTAAATATGGCTGCTGTGGAACACGTCAAACGGGAGCATGAAAAAAAAAAAGTAGGTCTATGGTTGCCATGATTTGAGCTGTTCTGCTTACCAGAAATAAACAAATCCAATTGTTTCTTATTTAGTATGTATGGCGCTATGGTCGGTAGTAGAATAAAAGAAAAATATTGAAAATGAAAAAAATGGCGGCACTTTGAATACGAAGTATCGATTTTTTCCACTTTTCTTCGTCTTTCAGAAGCTCTAAAAATCAGAAAAATACATATTTTGGCATAATTCTACTACAGACCATAGCCACACATGTTCTGAAGAGACATGTGCAAAATTTGAGTTCGATTGGTTCAGTAGTTTTTGCCAGATCGTGGCAACCATTAAACGCGTTTAAAGTTTTCAGTGCAATTTAGATTCTCCCTTGATGTGTCACACTAAACGAGCTATAACTTCGTTCTTTTATTAAATACAACTATAAAACTTCAGGAGTACATTCCTAAAGAGTTGTACTTTCGATATATGCAAAAAAATAGAAATCGATTTTTTGAAACCGTCACACTAGAACACCCCCTTAACGGACACCTAAGTCCCTTTATAATCAACAATCACAACGCATTAAACTACCAATCTCCTCAACGTTAACGTCTCCACGAACCGTTACACTTCACACGAAACATCCGCAATTATCACTCTTCGCTCGTTCTTTCCAACATCTGAACTTTCCACAAAATATTCAACATAATACGATCGTTACAAAATAACCAAGTAACGAGAGAAACTTGTCCGAAGAGGATGGTCCACCGACGAATAAGAACGCCTCGCCGTCTAGAAAAAGCAAAATTGAGACGGAAATAAGACAAGAACGAAAGGGCAAGAAGAGCATTGGGATGGGGTCGTGGAGGGTTGCAGGATCGACTGCAAAGAGAAAGAGAGACGGAAGGGACGAAATGAGAGCACGATGTAGTCATAATGGAAGCGCAGAGATTTAACAACGTTACAATGAACGAACAAGCGTTCCCCGTCCCTAAACCCCCGGAAGCCTGCCGCCGCCTCCAGGAGCTGAGGATCGCAGATTGAATTGTAAAATAACCGAGAGGGGAACAATGCGCCTCGGTACAACATTGTGTTTGCATTTAAATAATCCGCGAGCCCGCGGGTACGCTTATCCTCGCGACTTCGTCCCCGCCTACTACCCTCCGCTGCATACCCTTGTATCGTGTCCGTTTGTCTCGCATGCACTCCGCTTTTGCGTGGTTCTTCCTCCCCCGTAGAAACGGGAAACACGTTATTCCACGTAGGCACGGACACAAACACGTATATGCATGCAGAAGGAAAGTAAATAGAGGAAGAAGAAAGTTTTCGCTGGCGTTATTACGTCATTGGATCGTGTTGCTTGTTTCTTGTAATGGGGGTAACAGATTTGATGTGCAGCATGTTTTTGAAGAAAGGGTTCGCGACAGTGAGAATAGCTCCAACCCCTTGCCTTACAATTTCTTAATTGCTAGATATGTTAGCTGGGATTATTCGCTGTTTTTATACAGCGTTAAATTAGAAAACGTCGAAGTATCGTATGAAGAGTTTAAAGGGAATAAAGAATGAGAGACCATTTTTTGCCTATTATGATATTTCAATACATATGGGTGTATTTTTTTTTTTTATTGTAGAGTTGAGTTTTGTATTTGAAAATGGGAAAAGAGACGAAAGTTCCAAATTATTGCCATTTAAACAGTAGCAGTAGGTACATGGGGACAAGAATGAGTGTGCGTTGTGCAATAACGTAATGCATTTGTTAAGTGTGACTGTAAAGCAAGTGTTAATTAATTCAATAATATCTGGAGAATCGGTATATGCCTTCAATGGTTAGAGTTCGTTTTACTCAAAATAACATTAACTGAACACTCATCCTTTTTCCCTTGTACTCTTCACATACAACTTGCATTTGGCTGAAATTCAGGCTGAAGTTCGAGCTGAAATGCAAATTAATTACAAAGACAATACTTCTTTTATCACATCGTAACCATAATCTGTACCATGAGTGCGACTTGGCATCATAAGGCAAGATCAGCCAAAATTGCAGGGAAATTGTATTTGTCACTATTAAGTTGAGTAAAGCTTCTTATCAGAGTTAGAAGTAGGGTAACCTCTGCTAAGTCCGTGATGACTTTAGAATTTTTCTATTAACTGCTAATATTACCACATTTCGAAAATGAGCCACGGATGGTAGACATCGTGCAAACAATTAATAGGTTAACAAAATTTTACGAAGAATATTCTGCTCACTCTGTAATAGTTCTTCTTAGTATTTGATGTGTTCACCAGTTACTTATTTATTATTGCAGTTATTTCAAATTTACCCTTTCCCCCGGTATGGCGGTGAAAAAATGTCACAACACCGACACCTTGACGATGATATACGAAGAGCTCCACCGCTGATCACGCACTGAAAGCACGCATAGAAACTTGTTTATCGGTAATCAATAGTTTCACGATATTTATCTCCAGTTTTTCTCAAACAGTGTAATAAGAAATGCAGGTTCAGGTACAAAAGAAACAAGAATTAAGTTGCCCCTCATAAGCCAAGCTATACGATAATTTTAAGGTCAAGACTTGTTAGAGTGTTATTTCACCGTCATTTACCCCCATTTTTAATGTTCTATTTATCTCCTAAAGCAATCGTCCACAATTAACACGATTTTCTCTCAATCAATTACACTAACATCAACTTACTGATTTTTTTAATGCAACATAAACTCAAACATCAACACTGTGTGTCGGTATTTTGTTTAACTAAATTGAGTCTGGCAACTTTGTACTAGGCGCGAAATGAAAAAATATCACAGAAAAAGTCGAGTATACCCTAAATACGCAAAAACAGAGTATTTCATTTAAATTGGTTATTAATAAAAATGTTTCAGTGGACATAATGACATAAATAATTTTCTTGTTGGTGAAAGTGGATATAATTATTTTGCATAATATTTTGTACTTGTGAATTGAGTAATAGATGCAGCTATTCAGTTTTGATAAAAATGTACTGAAGAATTTTGGCTGAGAAGTTATTAGTTTATGAGGACCGATAAAATTTGAAAAATTATTTCGCAAAGTAGTATATATTTTACAGTAGGTAGGCACCTGTTATGAATGTGTGTCAATGGTTTGAAAAATAAAAAACATAGCGAAGTGCAAAAGCTGGATAGTATTACTTACAAATATGTATAAACCATGGTCTGCAGATCAATAAATCAAATCGCAATTAAGCATCGCATACGTAAATTTTATTCATAATGAAAGCATGTGGATAAAGCATTCACTCCATAACCTCAACCACACTTCCTATTAATACTTCCGCATAACATCTCCCTTAACAATAATTCTCAATCTACATTCTTAATAATTCCACATCTCTTGAAACTTCGAAATATACAATTCAAAGTGAACGAATTCCCTAATTCCGTACCCCGAAAAGTCATATCACATTCACCATAGATCACCGAACTAACCTATCTCCACCGCGCATCTCTTCGTCTTGCCTATTTACAATCGTACGTTTCTTTCCCTCTGAGGGAAACCCCTCCGCGCCGCGAAACGGGACCGGAGGCCAGCGTCTCATTAACGTGGCTCAATTAGCTAATGAACGGAGGAGCGTAAGTAGGGAGAACAAACGCCGCGACCATTAGTAGAACGTACGCGGCCGTTTCTAGTTTGTACTAATTGTAAGTAGCGAGTAATTAATGCGGTCGATTCGAGTCCGATCTGTCGAACCGCTGACCAACGGCATCCGGCGGCCGGAGAGGAAAGGGTTGCTGGTTGGGTGCGGAGGAAATGGTGGCTGCAGCTGGCTTTGGAGTAGGGGGAGGATGGCTCGAAGGAGAAGGGGGTTGTTCCGGCTCGGGTACCGGCATTGTTTCACGGTGGATGAGAATTTAATTTGCGCGACGAAGAGGGCGCCAGAGAACAAGGACGACCGCCGAGCGCTGGGGAAAAGCGGGACGGAGACGGGAAGAGGAAACAGAGGATAGAAAGAAAGGGCTGTGTATAACAGAGCAGTAGCGGCGAGAAAGAAAGGGATATAGCAGAGAGTGAAGGAGGGGGTAGAGAATGGTGAAGGTGGAGGTTCGGATGGGTGCTGCCTTGTTTAAGCGTGGGTGGGGGTGTCAAATTGAATTACCCCCTGGTTCCACGGTCCCCGGGGACGTTTGCTGGAGCACTGGCGCTCTCTGTGCTTCTACGTCAGGGTTATACCCGTTTGTAGATGGGTTTTATCTACGTGCACCGTTGTACGTGTGCACGATGTACACGGTATACCTTCATGGAGGCGTTTTCAATTAAAATCAACACCGAGGGTTGCCTCGCTCTCTGTCTCGCTCCCTCTCTTTCTCTCTCTCTCTCTCTGTCTGTCGTTGGTTGGACCGTGTCTATCGATCTTGCTCTCTCTTTCTGTCGTGGCTGCGCAAAATCAGATCGGTCTCTCTGTTTCTCTTTTTTTGTTCCGCTCTCTCTCTCTCTCTCTCTGTGCCTCTCTCTTTTATTTTCCTTCTTCGTTCTCGTTTTTTCCTCTTTTCCTCTGTTTTACTACTCGCGACGGTCTCTCATGAAAAATTCACCGTCTCAATGAAATCTTCGTCGCGCGTTAAACTAATGGAAGGAGTCTGTTGGCCCCGGCGTACTTATTGGTACTTCGTCTCCCATCTTCCAGCGAAGATGTTCCTCTCCGCCTCGGCTAAGAGGATAAGGAACCCGATGCTCGACTCCCATCCCTCCTCGACCCTTTTCCATCGTTTCTTTTTGTTTCGCCACCGGTTCCATTTCCTATCCTGCGCGCACGCCACCTTTTTCCTCCGGGCGGAACGTCTGAAAGAATCCTGAGTTTGGTCCGCTTCGACAGAGGAAACTCATTGTCGACCCTTTTGGCGAATTATAAAGTGAGAAACGGGCGGGAGAAGACGGTGATGAAATACAGGCAGAGTATTCACTTGAACGGTTCACGCGACTTTCCAGCTATTTACGAGAATGCGACAGAGGATGTGTTGACGAAACAATTTAAAAGAAGAATGAACATTTTGGAAATCAATCATTTGCGCAGGAAAATTAAGGGCACGTTGAACCGTTTACACGAAGAGGTATGATTTTTTTATCATAAAATTGTGGAGGGATCTAACAAGAGCACATCCCCAAGTGTCACTCACCGTAATTTATTAATTTGTCACGTATTTTTCTTTTACAAGCCACAGGCTTCTAAAGTTGGATTGTCAAAATCTATTTGCTCTAATATCTCAGAAACTATTAGCTATAGAGGAATTGTTCAAACGTGGAAACTGTGTGCTTCTCAATGAAGAATTCACCTACATAATTAGCTTTTAGAGAAATCCACTTGTTTAAATAATATATTGAAAATTCGTACATTTTTGTTAACTGTTCATCCAAGATGTTCGTTCATTTTCACGTAAATTTGTGTACAGATGCTCTCGGCTGATGTATTATTACTAAATACGGTTAAATTGAAATTTTTATTTTTTGCATTATAATAAAAGATTATTGCATTCGTGGTTTACTTGTAAGATACGTACAATCAGAATCGGAGTGTAATATTTTTATCCATGTAACATCAAATTTATGGTTAGGAAAATGGGTAGCAATTAAAATCCGTTTGCCTTAAACAACTTGTATTCAGATTCCGAGTAGAAATGTTAACCTAAGAATGTCGAATACAGGTTAAAACAATTCTATCATTCTTTCACTTTTGCAAATTTAACGTTATGTTATTCTGCTCTTTTGCATAGAAATGTATTTACCGTAGTCAATTTTATTTAATTTAAACAAGTTACCCACCATGTTCTTTTCACCAGAGGATTCATTAAAGGACAAGAATGCGACTTCGACCGCGTAATTCCGTCTCACGCGACGGAACTCTTTCAATTCAGTTAATCACCGTGCGCCTATTGAAAAAAAAATTCGGTCTTTCGCCTATTCGAGGCTGGATTTAATCACACTTGAAATCTCCTCACGCGATACATAAACCGGAAGCTGATCGCGCTACAACGTGGATCAATGAAGTCGGCCGTCGATGATCGCGATTAATTGACCGCAAAACGGTTCGAACGTCTGCAAAGAAACCCGATTTAATCGAACTAAATGCCAGCGTACGAACGTTGAACGTTTAATGACGTAGTAGAGTGATTCGGTTGGTCGATTCGATGACAAGTGATCGATAAAGTGTAATAAATATAATTACATGAGAATGAAATGAACGTGGAACGACAGAATGGGCGCGATCCAACGTTTCGTATCGCCTTTTTCGATTGCTACGTGTGTTACACCGGACAGATTGTTACACCAGGAAAAGTTATTATGGGATTTAAACTCGTCGATGTAATTTGAAGAGCATTCATTAGCGTTTGGCCGTTTACGAGATATCAGAGAGAAATATGTAATTCGTTGAGAGAGAGAGGAGAGAGAGAGAGAGAGAGAGAGAGAGAGCTTTGTGAGATGATCAATTGATGAGTGTATATAAAAATTGATCGAGATTGTTATTTCTGTTTCTTTTTTGTTGCAGTAAAATGGACGGGCCGGCGGTATTATCGATGCCGCCGATAACCGCGCCCCAAAAATCAGCACAATCGCCGCAGCCGCAGTCCCATACGAAATCCAATCAGGTATCGTGTACGCTTTTTATATTATGGGATTTTATTTTATAATTGTTTCTGGTGAATGGCCAAACGGGACGGGACAGTGGTTAGTTCCATCTCACATTGGTGGAATTTGCTTTTTGAAGCACGTTTCATTCGTTTCCCTATTTGCTTACAGAAGGTCGAATATTTTGTACAAAATACGGTAACATTAGTTTTGCTGATACATTATAATTGCTTCAATCTCGTCTGTTTAATTGTAGATTATAGACGGACTAAAGTTAGTTTACTAGTAGTGATATTGGAATTTTATAAATCCTACAATATAAAGTATAAATCATATTTGGAATTTCTTTAACATTCTGTAATACTAAGGAGACTATAAAACATTCTGGATTGAAATACACGATATTTAGTTCGAATTCACGTAAACATAAAGGATTCTGAAATACACAATGTCCGCTATTTAGAAATCTTAAGCATGCAGTATTTAGATTATATAATTTTATGCATTTCAGTATCTATACGTAATTATATCTACTCAAAAATTATAGTATTTGACAATTTTGCTGCATTATGAAGTCCCAACTAGCAGGCTTTAAGCTACACATCTCTTATGACTTGATGTATTAAAAACTATGTCTATAAGAAAAATAATAATATACTTAATTACATAATAATACATTGTTTTATACCTTCCCTAGCACAAGAGCTACCGACAACACACCACAACTAACATAAGTAAAATTTTCATGCGGTGAACGAAGATATCTTTTGTTATACAGGGTGGACCAATAAGTCTGTTCACCTGAAATATCTTCGTTATTTTTAAAGATGTGGAAGAACATTATTTACAAAGTAATTTTGTACGTCGAGGGTTTCCCTCTATTTTCTTTTAAATGGCAGGCAATACTTTTTTATCCCTAGTAAAATAGCCAATGTTTAGATGATTTCAACGACCTCCGATACAATATCATCCGACAATTAAAAAAAGGAGTAAAACAATGAGTCTTACATCGTAAGAGGTGCTGCTAACGATGACGTTATCGATATGCAAAGTGAGTCATGTAGAACAGGCCATCTAATTATTTGTTCTAGTTATGACGATACGAGAAAACTTTTATACGTAATTTAACCCTCGAACGACCGTGTTACGAATCGCGATATGTTTGTTGCGAAACCGATAATTGTCCCTCTTTTTGAGTCAGACCATTTAAGGAATCTACTCGGGATAAGGGACTCAGATAGTGCTCGAAAAATAGATTATTAACGTACAACAGTTTGCTGTTAAAACTATATATTCGTGAACGAACGTTGTGCAGAGCGCGAAATGTCTACGCTTACTGATAGGAAAATTGTGTGTCGCGTCGTGTGGTGTTCGCTATTTCATAAACTACGTGTGTGCTGTGATTGGTGGTGTGAAAACTGTCGTAGGTAGTGGAAGTGTGTGGTGATTGGTTTTCTCGGTGTGTTTGGGGTGTGTCTGCTGGTGGTGTGAAAGTGGGGAATTTGTTCTTACATTTGTTATATTACTTGTCTGAAAATTGGTGATGTCAAAGGTCTGTTTTATTGCTTAGGGCATGTGGTGTCCAGGTGTGAGAATCGTCGAATTTTTGGTGTAATGAAGTAATTTGCGCATGCCGGCTAAGACCTCGCTTTTTAGAAGGTGCTGTCTATTGAAAATAGCGATGTTATTGTTCGGCTCGTCGGTACGGCCGAACAACCCAAGCGGCGTCTGTTACGCATGTGTTTCGTAAATGCATGTCAATACCTCCGGAGGTAAATCTACACACCAAAACAAATCAAAAATGTCGTATGAATGTAAATGTTCCAAGTACCAGCCTCGTGCCTCGATACACGCTACTGCAGGTCGTAGCATCGAGTTCCGCACTCGCTCGAAAATACCAGGTCTTCCTCGAATAGTCTCAAATCCATTTTCTATCCTTTCTTGCCGATCTTGCACATTATTCACTTGCGTTGCATACACGATTTTTAGAACGCTAGTGAACTCGCGAGAATAAGGCACCGACCGTCCGCCATTTTGTCTGCTTCGTATCGATGGACATTAATTTGTAAATATTAGATAAGGTTAGGACGCGCTAAGGCGTAAAGTAACGTGTGTTGAGGAACGAGGCGGGTAATTCGAACAATTTCTTTAACCCTTTGCACTCCAAGCAGTTCTCCATAAGATTAATAGTGAAACTCCTGAGAATCCAAAGTTTTGTTTTGAAAAAGAAAAACAAAAGGATTTTTAACGCTTATAAATTTACTTATTTCTATTTCTTCCATTAATTTGCATTATTTTCATAATATAAAAACACCTGAATTTTACTTTTTAAATTTCTCCATGTCGCCATAACAGCGCCATTGGAGTGCAAAGGGCTAATCATCCATAACTCTAAAACTAAGGTATATCGGACATACATATGTTCATATGACATTTTTTATTTGTTTTGGTGTGTAGATTTACCTACCACCTGAAGTGTCGACATGCATTTAAGAAACACCCTGTATACAGATAGAAATGTAGCTGTGGGTGAATAACACGTGGTTGAAAGTTGAACAATTGCACAACGAAGATAATGATACATAAAAGGGAATATTGAGCACCTGAATAATACTCTCTTATTATTTCTCACTTATTCTCTCTCTCTCGTATTGTTTTCATCTACCACACGGCTCTACTGTTTACTCTCCCGTTCCAACTAAGACACTGACCGCTTTGCCAATCTCAAGTCGTTTCGAGCATCAGCCATAGATCATACCGACTCCCAGAATGTCCACATATATTCAAAACAAACACACGACATTCACGCCATCATTCACAACACATTAGTAAAACCAAATCCACAGTAGCTACTTCGGCATCGAGAGGTTAGAAGCGTGGGAGATGTCTCTTTAAACGCGACAATTGGCAAAGACATATACAGTGTGTCCCACGATAAGTGCCGTTCGATATACCTAACTACTGAACGGTAGATGGTAGGACAAAAATGTAAGAAGACTGTTGCCATAATATTTTATGTAGAATTTCAATTTTTCAACGTCATACTAAGGCCATCTCGTGTTTTCTTAAATGGAATTCTATATCTTTGTTTTGGTATTATGAAAAGTTTTAAAGCAGACTTTACCTCTGTCTTTTACGTTCGATGTTCAAAATGTCCATCTCCAGCTCTTAACCCTTTGGGTACACGTTTATTTGAAAATTTGTTTGCACTTGGAGCACATTTAATTTTTTGGGCAAGTAAAAGCAGTAGATTTTATGCAAGAATTAATTTATTTCGTATTATTCATTATATATACTCCTACATAATATTGAAATAACTTTAGGCAGTTAGTATTACAAAATACTCTTAAAACAAATAAACTCTGGTTATAATAACATTTAACATTTTCTTTTTCTTCCCAAATCCATTCATCTAATTTTTCACGAGAAGATTCACTATCACTGCTTGATAAGCATCTTGTACGTCTTTTACGTCTTGGAATAATTTCACTATCGTTATCACTTTCTAGTTCGATGTATTCTTCATCATTTTCATTTTGTAATTCCCCTTTATCGCTTAAAGGATCATTAAAAAATTCTTCGTCAGATTGTTCAAGATCACTACTTTCGTTAAAACTGTCGCTATCACTTTGATCAAATATATTCTCTATTTCTGCCATTATGGGGTTGTGTATCCCAAACAAGGTCCACCAAAATACTGAAATTATTTGTTCTGTTGCAACAGATACGCATTACTTTGAAATAAACCAGAATGAACTAGTTAAATCTCGTCTCAGTTTCAACGACGTATCAGAACGTCATGTGCGACTATGCCCAAACAAATGCATCACGTTCTGATACGTCAAATGTAGCCAAAGGGTTAAGCATTGCTGCAGCCTATTGCATCAATATCATCTGACTTGGAAAGGTAAATATTTGAAACAGATGTAATTTCATGAAACGAATAAGTCTCATTGTGTTACTCCCGTCTAAATATCTCCTATTCTATAAGCAATAAAATAAAGGATAGCATGCTACTTATGAATGTTGAAGTGACCTTGAAATTCTCGAAAACCCTTCGTCTAGAAAAAAAAAAAAAACGATTACTGACATATTATGGCCCCCTCTGTACCATAAAACTTTTGTAACCAAAGTTCTTCCACATCTCTAAAAATAACAGAGATATTCTAAGTGAAAAGAATTATTGGTCCACCCTGTATAATGCTAAATCTGAGAACCACGTTGTGAACCTAAAGGCTCAGGAGTTGCAGGTGGGCACCGTTTCACTCTACGGAATTCACATCGTCTCCTTGGTGATCGAGGGCCAGGAAAGGCTCTGTTTGGCGCAGATCAGCAACACGTTGCTGAAGCAGTTCAGCTACAACGAGATTCACAATCGCAGGGTGGCGTTGGGCATAACCTGCGTGCAATGCACCCCGGTCCAGTTGGAGATCCTCCGTCGAGCTGGCGCCATGCCCGTTTCCTCCAGAAGATGCGGCATGATTACGCGAAGGGAAGCCGAGCGTCTCTGCAAATCGTTCCTCGGCGACAATGCGCCGCCCAGGTTGGTTAACTTTTGTCAAACCGTCTTTCCGAGTACCTGTTTTCGCGTGGAACGACGATTTTCAGATTAGGTTTCGAGCAAAAGAATTTGATAAGAGATTCGTTGAATAATTTTAGAGAAAAATTTCATGTGAAACGCTAGTTTCGAGTATTTTAAAAAAGGCATATTTTGAGACACTGTGAGACGTTTACATAAATGGATTTCGAGAAAAGGCACTGGTAAGAAATTATTTCGAAGTAAACTTGCTATTCGTAACAGTAGACTTAATATTTAGGATGATCATATTTGTAGCAGTAAAAAGATGGTAAAAAAAATTAGTCTCGCGAATACAGTATTTTAATACTATTACAGAAGCAATTATCTGATTTACATAATAAAGTCAAACGAAAGATACTATGATACAGAAACGACGAAAAAATGACGAAAGAGATTTTAGCTAATATATCCATAAACAATAAAAACGATAGGTTTAATTTTGTAGAGATTCTATTTTCAGCACTTTTTTGTCAAAATCTGCCTATACACTATCACTTACATTTCTATCTTCGTTCATTGTTAAAGCACCATTGCTCGGCTACATATTGGAATTGTTTTCGTAATTATTGCAGTCGTTTATTTGGTTAAATGAATTCTCATTGTCAGAAACTTTGAACTTTAAGTTGAATTCAACTTATCGATCTTATCAATATACGGGAAAAGGGATCACGTCGAAGAATTATCGACCTTTAAACTGTCCTAAATTCGTGAAAAAAAATCGTACAATAATCCACCTGAAGACATTTTCATTTCATCTCGCTAAGTTGATTTTCCTCGAAAATGCTTTTCCACTAGGAAACATGGGAAAGTGAACATGGTTCTTTTCTCCCTTGAAAATATTAAAGAAAATTCTTGAGAGCTTAGAAAATTTTTGTCATCACTCAAATCACCATGAATTTGAAGATTGAAGGCTCCCCTTAGAAACGAACACTTAAAAGTTTATGTACAATTCTTTGTCGCCGTTTTATTGTATTTTGAATGAAAAGTGTGCGTCTGACGTTAGAATAACCCAAGGTGCACCACGAGGAGGCTAAACTCCGTACAGTTGTTTGATTTTGTAAAATTTTCGGGAAAAAACACAATGTTCACTTTCCCGCCCAGCGTCCTAGTAGAAAAGCATCTTCGACGAAAATCATCTCAACGAGGTGAAAGCAGAAGCTTCACCCTTCAAAATAACTCCAGATCAATTATTTTTTATTTTTTTTTTCACCAAGTTGTAACAGTTCAGATATCGACAATTTTTCAGCGAAAATTTCACGGTCCTTTAATTTTACCGCCGAATGTATGTATCATAACAATAATATTACCATTAAGCTGCGTCTACACTATATAACATAACACGTTACATAGCAAAGTTATAAAACTTGTTAAAAGAAGAACAAGAAAACTGTTATGTAACATTTTTCCTGTTATATAAAAAGTTGCGTTATCTATCAAGTGTCAGTAAAGATCGAAGAAATTGAAGAAACGATGCGATTATAAAATATTTGCTATCATCATTTGATACCATTACTAATAATGTGACACGAAATATTGTACAAACTTGTTACAGACTTGTTACTACAATACCAAAAGGTACAATCTTGTGACAAGTTATAAAAACATTTGTTTTATAACACTGTTTTGTTAGACAGTGTAGACGCTGCTCCAACAAATTCATCTAACACCGTAAAACAATTATACACAACAATTCCAATATTATCACCCACCATACTTCTATCAAGGTTGCCCGAAGATTTCGCGTTTTCCGTGCACCACGAGTGCGCTTGGGGTTGCAGTGGCGCGTTCCTTCCCGCGCGCTACAACAGTTCGCGCGCCAAGTGCATCAAATGCGCCTATTGCGGCCTGTTCTTCTCCCCGAACAAATTCATCTTCCACTCACACCGGACCGGCCCGTCGGATAAATATGTGCAACCGGACGCGGCCAACTTCAATTCATGGCGACGCCACATGAAACTGTCCGGCAATCTGCCGGACGAAGTGGTGCACGCGTGGGAGGACGTGAAGGCTATGTTCAACGGCGGTACCAGGAAACGATTACTTAATAATCCGACTTCAAGGGAATCACCGAGCCCGGCGAAACAACCGAGATCATCGCCCACGGCGCAGATACCCACCCTCGCCCCATCGCCCACGCATCCCCGGGTGCCTCCATTTCCAGAATTGCCTTTGCCGTTGTCCAGAAGCCTGGTCATGGACTACGTGTGGCACCAACATCAACAGGCCGCTGCCGTCGCCGCAGCCAAAACGCCAGGATTCCCGTTCTCGCCGTATGCTCTTCCATGGCTGGCTAAGAGGGGACCAGTATTGTTTCCTGGTGAGTTGTTCACGATGTTTGTATCCTTTAGAAAATATGACGGAGATTTTTCGAAAAATTCTTTCTACTCGGAGTAACCTCTCAAAAAACGTATCAACCTTCCCCAGTCTCCCCTACGTTAAAATTTTTAACACTCGTTTTGAATCATCTTATATGGAAGATGAATATACAGCGTGGGCCAAAAGTCACGAAAGGGCTTCTAATTGTTATAACTTTAATTATTTGTTTTTTTTTTGCAATTTTTGTTAATAAACAAAACTATGTATCTTGTAGAACCTAAAATTCTAAGGTTCTCCACCAGCGCCAAGTGCATTCCCTCATCGGACCTTACTTTTTTGAAGAACAATTGCCCTTTGGCTTTAGAAAAAAAAATCACTATCTTGGTCAGCTGTTCTTTCATAAACTTACCCATACTTAAATTGCAGAACTATAAATATCTGCAATAAAACTTAGAAAAAGGTTTAAACAATTAGTGTAGGGCCGCTAAGTCCGAATCGCCCGTGAGACGACATCGCAAAGGGCGTAGCGAGCACGCAGTATGTAGTTGGCTACACGGGAGCGGTGTCGGGCTTTGTTGGCGCATCTTGTAGTCGACCGACACGTTGTCGACGATGGTGGCAGGGATGTGCTGACTGCGTGGCGGCGGGATATTTTCTTCTGTTTCTCTTTGTTCACGTCGCAAGGTGAGGCGAGACTTTTGGGACAGTCGGTTAGCAGCAAGGGACGTCACCAAACTGATACACGTCGATTTTGATTAAATTTTGCTGGAGAATTTGAAAATATTAGATACCTAATTTTTTTAACTGCTAATATTCGTGTTTAGGGTGTGAAATCACCCTCTAAACTTGGCGGCTGGAAAACTATTAATTAGAATATCTCGAAAGTGAAATATGAATTCTGACCGTTTCTTCACGAAGAATAACAAAACGTAAATGACGATAAATGACGCCGCCATAGCTGAAAATATCATATGTTTGTAAATATTTTCTATGCGATATGATATGTTTTGATAAAAATTCTTCAATAGAGACTACAAAATGGATCTCACAAATACATTTTCTTCCTAATTTTCAAAAAATTGCTGTAAAGCGAGAAAAAGTCGATACTTGCTCGGCGCGTGTAATTTCATTTAACTTCTTACGGAGTTCGACTAATGAATCTGCTATTTTCTATCGCAGCTCCTAAGAAACTGCGATTCTAAAATGAACGTCTCCTCAAGACGATACCGCAATCGATACCGGAACTGAGCATTCATCACATTGTATTATTTTAACTCTTAATTTATTTAATACATACTTTCATCGTCAATCGTCTCCCCTATTTCCTACGAAAGTTAGAGCAATTAAAAATCCTTTCGTGACTTTTAGCCCACCCTCTATAATATCATAAATTCTGAACGTAGAATTTTGCTTCCGAAGATTTTGGCATTAAATACGATTAGTTGCTGGTGGATAATGAAATTAACGTATAGGAAATAATGAATTTTTATTTAAAAATTTGCACTATTAGACTGTTTTCTGCGTTAAAAAGATATTATCATCTTGATTTACGTCAATATTATTATCTACAGAGAAAAATGGATTAAAGTTGCATGGTTTCAAACGAGACATAGGATAGATCAAAAGAAATTTTTGATGCTTCGAAGATTTGAAGGTGACCATTGATATCTTAAATCCTCGAGACGCATAATTTGAATAAAATTATTGCTCAAAAATCTAACTTAAGAATCTATTCATTCAGTCGGTAAAATCAAGTTTCCGAATTTGTTCGGTATATTCGAGAATGTTCTCGTAACACAATAATCATAAATTGTACACCTACAATTAGCAAAAGGTTCCCTAAAGTAACGCGAATGTTCGTAGATCCAAATTTCAATAGTTTCATATGCAAATTTCATATGCAGTTCGCGTAAAACGTGATCCGTAATATACATATAACGGATTACATGCGTAGCGAGCAGAAATTACACTCCGTGACAGTGTTCATTAGTATAATTACAGAGCAAATGCGAATGCGAAAAGTACTATGAAAATTATTAATCGGTGCAACGACAGCGATCATGGGTGCGCGTGTAAGGTAATGGTCTTTGATAATAATTATTAATACTCTCTTATACGTTGCCGCGTTTGTTCCTGTGTTATCGATTAACTTCGCCGCCATTTCGATTCATTCGTGTGGTTAGTATTAATCAATTGAAATTATTTTAACTAATAGTAAACGAAATCTCCGCGCGCCAGCCAGTCATTAATTCGAGTGGCACGCAAAAGTTACCAGCGCTGCTGATAACAAATTTTAGCCATGAATGGACAAGCTATTTAGAGGATTAGCTTAACTGTGGCTCGCAACAAATATCGTTAGTTAATGTTTCGAATTCATTGCACGCCGGGATTACTAACAATATACGCGTGACTAGTTCATATTTCTCGATATATAAAGTAATAATTCTCTACAGGCACGTCCCGCTCTATTTTAGAAAATTCTGTACGACTGTTTGTACGAAGTGATAAAGGAATTTTTCAAGGGAACTTTGTAACGAGTAATAAAAAAGGTGTTGTACAACAAGGTTATAAAAGAATTTGTTATACAGTGTAGACGCAGCTTTAGGATGGTAGGGTAAATTTTGGTAAGACTGCGACAGTTTTAGAATTTTTCTATCAACTGCAGCTACCTCTTGTATCATCTGATAATTCTCTACTTCTTTAAAAATATGTGTGTCACTGAAACAGTATTGCTTTTGATAAAAAGATATTATTGTATGTTCGTTCAACATTTAACACGCTCTAGACACCAATCTTTTTAATCTAATAGGTACAGAAGAAAAAGAAATTACAGCCTGAATAACTGACTAGAAAAATAATTAACCCTAGAGCGGTCTTCGTTTTGACGGTACACTCAAGACTTTTGGGTGAAAAAGGACCTAAGACCTTATGTGTAATTTTTGTTTCCAACGCGACATATGAACCTAGACAATAAACGTTTAAAATAATGTTAAGGAACGTAAACTTGATAAGAGCAAAAATGGCAGTGGGTCAAAAAAGACCCGAAGACCGCTCTAGAGTACAATTTTCACAAGTTTGAGATTAATGTTTGTATATGCGATTATGAGCATGCGCTACTAATATTACAATAATAACAGTAATCCAGAAACTTTGTTGTTACACCGTGTATTATGGTATATTTGATTTTTCTACACAATAACTGTACGATACTCGACTCGAACGAGACTGGTTTCAGCTCGAACTCAGTTAGTATCGTTGCGCTCCCGATGTGTTAATCCCGGAAGGGCGAAATTCTAGTAGTTGGTGTGGTGATGGTGAATAATAGGTTCTCTCCGTCAGAATATTTTTGAACTCTTTTATGATAGGGAAGGAATTTGTTAGGGGCTAGGAAGACGGTTGGAAAGGACTGTTTATTAATTTACGATGTGTGACTGGCCGGTGGGCTGCGCGACCGGACACCCTGTATACTTCAAAAAGGGGAAAGGGATAGGAAACATGACCAGGGTGCGACTTGAACTATTTTATGATAGGGAAGGAATTTGTTAGGGGCTAGGAAGACGGCTGGAAAGGACTGTTTATTAATTTATGATATGTGACTGGCCGGTGGGCTGCACGACCGGACAATAACAAACTTTGGTTTAATGTGCTTTCTTATATTATACATATAATATATCATGTATTAATATCTATCGTTATAAGAATAAGATTCTTCTATTATACATCAGGTTCCCCATTTTATACTGCATATCTTTCAATAAAAAGAAATGAGAGCAACATAACAAATTTGGTAACCCTTTAGTTAACACATTAACATATATGCTGCAATTAGCGATGGGCTATGAAAAGCTTCGAATTACTTGGAATATGTAAATATGGCGAAAAATTCGACTTGATAAGTCTTGAATCTTGAGTCCTTATAGGTCTCGAGTCTTTAAAATTTCGATACATTTTGAAAGTCTTGGAAGTTTGGATAGGACTTGAGAGCTAGGTTAGTATCTAATATCTTGCAAGCACTTTAAATGCATTTGTCCAATCAGCATCATTACATCAGTATCGTAAAATATGAAAGAAATTGAATACTCGGGTGTAAGGCACGTAATACTCTCGAGACTTTCGAGACCTATCGAAACTTTAAAGACCTGTTAAGACTCAAGGTTCAAGATTCATCGAGACTATCAAGAAATTTACATACGTATCGAATTAGAGTCGAAGTGATTCGAAATTTCACAGTATTGAAAAACTTCAAATCGCTTCGAAACTGAGATTCAAACACCCTTCACTAGCTGCAATATAACACGTATTCGTTGATTCTTTAGGACCTCTACCACCACCGATAAGCGGTTCCAGTCCCACAGAACCCCTGATACCAGCGGTGAATCCATCATTGCATCAGTCTGCCTTTCGTCCTGTAATTCGTGGACCTCCGATCGTCGAATCAGTCTCTCAAGAACAACCAACGGATGCCTCTATGTCCAATAAAGAGGATAACTCCGACGATGAAGTGGACATTGAGACGACAGAAGACGATCCAGTCACGCCTCTGAACATCGCTGCACAGAATCTTCATGCGGTCTCAAACTCAACCACCAGCAGTCATAGTGGTCGCAACTCGCCCCAATGTTGGAGTCCTCCTCGAGAAACGGTGAGTTAAAGGTTACTCGTTGGAACCTTATTCTTTGCTTCCGTTTGTCGGATATTTCCAGCTCTCAATACTTCAAGTAAATATGCAGGGTGTCGTGTAACTGGTGTTACAAACGGGAAAGTGATGATTCTATATGAAAAACTAAATCGAAAATATGCAATAAAATTTGTTCGTCGAAGGTTTTGTTTTTGAGAAAACTGAATTTAAAAATTCACTACAAACTCTTGCTTCTGCACGTACCTTTGTTGGTAAGCAGCGGTAATGTCACATTTAGCAAAGAAATAGTCTACGCAGAAGATAGTGCGAATCTTCAAATCTCTAAAATAAAGAATTAAGATTTTCACGCAATTAAAGCGTGAAAATACCATATCATCAGTCGACGACTCTCTGATTGAAAGAACAAGGATTTGTATGCGTTAACACGGACGTCACTCTTAACAATTTGTTCAGTAATTTTAAATTAAGAAAATCGTTAGTAAATGTATTATCAATATTTATCGTGACATTGGTGTCGTTTAGTAGAATAAACGTAAAGCCGAGATATAGTCTAATGCACGTGCACTCGACAAAATTTTTAAATTCATTTTTCTCGAAAACTAAACCTCTTATGAAAAGCTTTTATTCTATATTTTCGATTCACCACCTTCCCTCACCAATTACACGACACCCTATACAATTGGCATTCTACATTCGTTCAAATTCAGTCAAACGTATTAAAAATGAAATATACAAAAATGCTCCGACATAATTAATGGAAATTTTCTGTCGATGTTATTGTAGTATACAACGCTGTTAGATTTCAATTTTAAGAGCAAAATACTCGGTTAGGGGTTATCACTAATTCATACAAACATGTAGATTGTAATATGTTGCGACAATTAATTACGTTACCCAGTGGATGCAAAAGGTATTTGCGTATTTATTTATATAATTACTTGCATATTTTAATACAAACTTTTTGTATTCAGACTAAATTCATTTCTGATAAACAGACTAACTCAGTTTTAGATAATAAAAATTGAATTAGTTCCATATGTTAACCTAACCTTAAACTTCATGGAAATATTCCTCAAATAAACATTTATTCAGGCAAATATAAATTCTGATTTCGCAAAGATAGAAACAAGAGAACTTTCAAGAAAGCACATTAAATACAAATACACACAGTGTATAAAATATACAACAAATAAATGAAAATACTTAAAGAACACGTTCGTTAAATCTTTCCTACGGTGAAAGTATATCATCTTAGAATTGCTTGAAAAAGATATAAACTAGGATAAAGTTCATCAAGTTTCGAGCATTTTATTAATTAATCGAGACTCCATTAACCGGATGTTAGGATCGGAAGCGTGACAGTGTAATGTTTCCCGGTGATGGCCACGTGACCATTGTTGCACCCTTCCACTATAACGAGGTTAGGAAGGACTCCATCGTTAACCATTATCGGCACCAATGGGTCCGCAAACACTCTGCGGGGAAACTGTCCTGAAAATATGCCGACTGCCCCTGTCCGGTACGAAAACACGCGATTGGTAATTCACAACAATCACGTTCTAATTTGAATAGGTACTTCTGCACGTGACCTGCGCGCGCGAAATGTAGGGTTAAAAAGCAAAGTAGGTGAAGTGAGTTTATCTACTACCTCCATTCTTTGATTAATGTACATATAGTTGCTCTTTGATTAATATGCAGAGATTACATAGAAATGAATTGCGTGAAAACGAAAAGGGACTATTCGTGTGGAAATTCGTTGCTATGATTTGTCAAATAAAATGAAAATATGGGCAACTTGCGTACTTACGTGTGTTGTATATGAAGAAATCAAGAAATTATTTTTGTTCTTGCATAAGCAGTCGTTACAGTTTATTCTTAGGCGAAGTAAATTTTATATGTGGATTGGTTTAACGTAATATCACTTTGGGTTGCTAAAAAAGCGACACAACTAACAAAAGTAAATTTTTTCAGGAAATCGGTTTCAATGTTTTTGTGACAGAAAGTTATCAATTACTTAACCATTTAGCAATAGAAACTTTTTTTTCACAATTTAGTTATTAGTCTTCGCAGTTTGGGGTTCTCTAATAAAATATTGTTTATGTCTATTGTTTACTACTAAAAAATAAGACACTTCAAATAAAAATAACTCGCTTTTAGAGTTCTTTTTCGAAGATATTTGAAAATGAACGATTTTTGAAACGTGTCACTCTTCTAGCAAACCGACGATATTAGAAACTAAAATGTTCGTAACACGTAAGTTCGTCTGTGAGAAAAGAATCGGTATGAGCAAATATCAGGAACAATTATTTTTCTTAATTTGTCAAAAATCGAAATTCTGATTTATCCGTATTTTGTGTTTCGATATGTAACTTATATACATAAATTTACGCGAAAATCGATAAACATTTTAGAAGAAAAATTAACAAGAAAGTTACAATTTTTAGTGTATTGTTTAAACAAGAAGACGTTTTTCAGATCTGTTTACGTAGCCATATTCCTTGTTCAGAAATACAAATTTCATCAGTTTACGCCGCCTCTCTATCTCTAATAGGTGTCAAGATATTAAACTAAATATATTGTATTTCCTACCCCGACTTTCAGTGCGATTTTCGCCCCTTCAATATTGACCATTGCCGATAAAAAAGTACCTGTCGTATATTGTCTCGAGATCTACCACATACCAAAATTTCATCAAAATCGGTGATTATCACTTTGGGATGTTCCCTTATAAGTCTAAAATAAAATAAGCTCGAACAGCGAAGATTTTAAGGTATTAAAAAAATAACAGAGTATGTGTCTTTAAATAAAGATTAACCATGAATTAGCAATAGTAAAAGAGTAGACAACTATACTCCCTTCCGTGTAGATCATGTGTTTAAGATGCAAGAAAATCAACTAAATATCCAAAATAAATAAATATATATAAAGCATAAAATATTGGCTACTTTTCTAAATGAAAGAACGTACGAGTATCTGAATATCCTATTTCCACTAATATACAGGGTGTCCCGTAACTCCTCGAACACCCGGAAATGGGGATAAAAAAGTTGTAAAAACGACCTTCGCTATTTTCTTCGCGATTCAGACTAATTGCAGTTTTTTCAAAAATTTATACAAACGTCGGAAGGGCGGCCAAAAACCATTTCTCGAAGCCTTATAAAAACAGCAGTGCAAAGTGAAAGTTTTTTGACAGCTGTCGAGAACCGAGAAGTCACGCGTACGCATTTGTTCGATCGCGCGCGAGTGAGCCTCTGTTCTTCGTCCCTGAGCGCGGGCTCTACGCACGCTGTGATTGGCCAGTGTTTTTCGTTAATAATTCAAAAACGAAGCTTCAAACAACATTTTGGTAAAGGAAAAAGTTGTTCAGAGTCACCCCAGCAACCCCCCATTTCCGGGTGTTCGAGGAGTTACGGGACACCCTGTATATTTGGAACAAGTGTGCTATATTTTTCCAGTAAATATCATGTCCGGAAAAGTAATACATTAAAGCATAACGTCAGCCAGGATCTTTAATCATTGAGTAGTGAATAAAGCTATATATTCTGATCGTTTAATAACGGAGTATATTTGTGTTGGGAAACAAGCAGCTCCACCCGTGAGCAGTGTCCCCTTCTGTAGACGGTCAACGACATAACTTTGGGTTACGTGATACCAAGCAAACAACTTTGCTCCAGGTTAATCAAATTAACCAAGTTGTAGCCAGCAACCTATTGTAATCGAACCTGTACACAAAAAAAAACGTATACGTACGTTAGTCCATCACTTTTTTTGAAATTCGTATAATTATAACCTGAACAATTCCTACATCGATATCACTGGGTAATATCTACAGTAATTAAAGAACTTCTAAAAAAATTCTTATCGTATAAAGTAACTTAAATACTTAGTTAAAGCTCGCTAATATTACGTGTACGAAATTTGTTGGTTTCTGATATTTAATTTATTCTTTAAATACGAGATTCCCTAATTGCATACATGAATACTTATTTCACGAGATAGACTGCTTAAAGTTAAATTTCAAATTAATTAGAGTCTTTAATGCTTGCTTTTGGTAGCAAACGCTTTTAAAATTTGAAGAATTATAATTTTGCGAAATATCTCACTGAAAGGTAATTAAAATTTCGAGATATTTAATGTCAATTTTGAAGTTTTAGAAGTTCGATTAGATACTATCGTGATACATTTAATTATTTCAAATTTGTGTTTGAGAATTATATTCCTCTTCGTTAAATACATCAAATTCGTATTTAATTCTTTGTGCTTTCCGTGTATTCAAGTCAAAATCAAACAGTAATCTGACACTAATTATTACAAAATCATAATTCCTAAATATAATCAATCCCTTTTCTAAAAATCCAAAATTCAATCAATGTAGAAGTTCAAAAATTCCCAAGCACAGCCCTCCGTGTGCAATCTGTGAAATTTCACTCTTGTATTTTTTCGAAACGAATTTTTATTTCTATTGTGAAAAATTTTAAACGTTTGACTTAAAGAAAAATGTCACAATATAGCAGAGACGTTATTGAAAGCTTGGAACAGTAACAAAATTCGACTTGAATACAAACGACCAAGTTTGCCTACGGAGTGTGAAAACATAATTTCCCATTAATGCCAGAAACAAGGATTGGATATATTCGCCGAAGAAAAATATTTGATCAAACTTCTAAAAATTCAAAATTGGTACTAAACTCTTATGTATCTTTCAATAAGATAAGTATTTCGCAAAATTACAATCCACAAAATTTCAGAGGCGTTTGCTACTAAAAACGAGCACGTTTACCTACGGAGGGTTAAACAGACCAAATGAATAAGTAACAAGAAGCACGCTAAAAAACGAAATTTTGAATATGATCAAAAATGGCATTAAGAAATTGTTACTTCCACTGACATCTGTATCGAATCAACCAATTTCCACCAACCACACTTCTCTTCGAATCCTTGCCAAACAAGAACCACCCCAATTCCTCACTCTTCCTCTCCCTCGACCATTTCGCCCTCTAAATACCATCAAC